GAACCTGCGGGCTCAGGCAATCCACTCACCTCAGCCTCCCAAGGCGTGAGATTACAGGCTGAGCCACCGAGCCCACCTAGTAAACAATTTTAAAAGTCAAATGACTTGAACAGAGAATATTTGGAGATAGCAAATAAGCACCTAAAAGATGGTTAGAATTGTTAGCCATCAGGAAAATGCAGGTTCCAACTGCAGTGACATACTCTTGCACATCAGTTAGAGGGACCAGGATATGGAGTGTTGGCAGGGGTGTGAACAACCCAGGTGTGAGGAACTGTATTCTCCATGCTGCTGCTGGGAATGCTGGCAATGTGAACCTGCATAGCCACTTTGAAAACAGTTTGGTGGCTGGGCTCGGTGGCTCAAACTTGTAATTCCAGTACTTTAGGAGGCCGAGGTGAGAGGATTTCCTGAGGGGTTTGAGGCCAACTTGGGCAACTTGGTGGGACCTTGTCTTTACAATAAATCAAAAGATTAGCCAGGTGTGGTAGCACACGCCTGTAGTTCTAGCTACTTGGAAGGGTGAGGCGGGAGGATCGCTGGTGCCCAGCAGGTGAGGCTACGGTGGCCAGGAGCAGCCCCTGCACTCCAGTCTGGGTGACAGAGTGAGACTCCAACTCAAAAAAAAAAAACAAAATTCAACAGGTTAGTGGTTACCTGAGCTTGGGATCTGGCTGGAAGGAGGGATAGCAGGAACACAGGGAGACTTTGGGAGTTCATGGGTCTGTTCAGTGTCTTAATTGTGTTGATTTCATAGGCATTCAGATACCTTAAGATGTATCAAGTTGGACATGCTTATTGTAGGTCACATCTTGATAAGAGTGTTTTAAGAAACTAAAGTGAAAGACTAGAAAGCACTGTCAGTAGCATTCGCATCTGTCTGATGAGCTCCTGTGTCGCACTGTTTCTCATAGTCTTCATTTCTGCAAAAGGGCCTACTTCCTTTCACTGGGTAGAAAGTGTGGCAGGTGAAGGAGGAAGGAGTTTTCTAATTATTTGATTTTTTTCAGGTTAAAAATTCTATGACTGCTTTCATAATGAATCATACTTAGCATTTGCAGTGTGTCAGTCATGGTTCTAAGAGCCTTATGTGGACGCTAATTGAATCCTCAGAGCTTTAGCAGTGGGAACTATGATTGTCCCCACTTTCAATCAAAAAATGGAGATTAAAGGTTAGGGGACTTACTGGAGCTCACCTGGTGATAAGAGATAGAATCAGGACTAGAACCTTGGGCTTGTGACTTTCCAGCCATGGATGTCACACTGCTTCCTGCCATCAGAGGTATAGGATACCATTGGTCCTGCCTAGGTAGACTGGGCATGCAGATGCTGATAGAAACACTATTTAGGGGGAAAGCCAATAATGTTCATCATAGTTTGCAGAGAAGCAACTGAAACAACAAAGGTGATTTCTACACACTGGTTTGTGCACGGTATGACCCGCTATGGTCCTCCCCAGCTGGAGCATTTATAGGTCCCATAAGAGGTGCTTGGAGTCGTCCTCTGTCATGTGTGCTGCATGGTTTTCAGTTCTCCTTCCTTTCCCTGTGAGCTCTTCCTTCTGGATGGGTGCCATCATTTTGCAAGACTCTCAGCAATGCAGTGTAATGATTGGCTCTGAAGTAATTAAAGTGGTATTTCCTGTTTGACCCAACATGTTTGAGGTGTTGTAGCTATCGGATGATGTTTGATTGCCTAGTATGTGCTAGGTTTTGTGCTAAACCCTGGAAGCAAGAAGAGGCCGTAGGCTAACGAGGGCAGCAGAGGGAGAGCACAGTGGAGGAACAGGTGCTTTTGTGATGCTTGAGACATAAGCCTTCGCAAGAAAAAGACAGTGGGTGTTGCCAGTGATTCCAGAGTTGAGAGGGACTGAGGGGCAGGATCCTTGGCTGCCTGCATTCTGGCTTCTCCCTGGCTTTCAGGACCGTCCCTGAGCTGTCCCTCTCCAAGTGTGTCCTCACCTCACACTGTTCCCTAGTTGCCAGCATCTGCTGGGTGGGGTGAGTGAGTTGACTGTGGCATGACGTGGTGACAGCCGGAGTCTTGACTGTCTTAGTCTGTAAAGTCCCCTCCATCACTCTCTTTCATAGAACATGCTGTTCTGTCTTCTGTTGTTCTAGAGATTTGGTCAGATGGTTTTTGGTGAGACTGCTTCATAGACACAGTCTTAGGTATGATACAGAAAATTGCTACCATTAGAGAAATTCGCATCCCAAACAAGGACAGCAGACTCACACTCAAGTGTCAGCCCTTAGGGAGATTGTGTCCACGCAGGGCAACCCTTGCCCTGCCCTGTCCGCATGCTTCACCCATTTAGTGCCTGTGTAAGTTCTCACCCTCTGAAACTCCCTCATGGTTCCCCTATTTGTCATCTGTCTCCCTCAAACTAGAATTCAGCCTGTTATCTTGCTCCCTGCTGTGCTGAGGCTCTGACAGTGCCTGACAGAAGGCCTGAAGAAGACGTGCCAGGGAGAGCATCTGGTGCATGCCACTCTGTGCCTTCCTTGGCTGCCGTGTCTGTGATCAGCTGCTGTACATCCATCCTGCTCCCTGTGACTGCTCATAGTGTTGTGAGGAACGGTCTGTAAAAGGAAGGCCTGAGCACTTTCTGCTGCCCTTTGGATTTACACAGTCTTAATTTTGGAGGTTAACCTGCATTTGAGAGTGGAAGAAAAATAGAAAAGCTGTTGAAATTGGCTTAGATTCATCATGCAGGCTCTAATCTCTCAAAATGCTTAGTTGTGGAAGTGAGCTGTGAGGCCCATCAAGTGAGCAAAAGCCTGAACCGGTGTAGGACGCAGGGAGGGGCCTCTGCAGGGCCAGTTTTGATTTAGGAAGTTTCAGAGATGCTACCACTGTTCCATGCAGTGCCACACAGGAGCCCAAGGGTGTGCAGGCTGCTGGTGACCAGACAACTCAGGACTGCCCTGCTGCTTGGTGGGGAGAGCAGGTCTGCTCTGGAGACTGTGGTACTCCTTGTCCTTGAGGTTGTTCTGTTGAGAGGGACGCTTCATAGTTA